AACGGTAATACCATGACATGCTTTATGACAAATTCCACGACAGTTTTAAAGCTAATACCATGACATGTTTCAACGATTATACCATGACAAGCTTTATGACAAATTCCACGACAGTTTTAAAGCTAATACCATGACATGTTTCAACGATAATACCATGACAAGCTTTATGACAAATTCCACGACAGATTTCAAGGCTAATACCATGACAAGTTTCATGACTAACACCATGACATGTTTCATGACTAACACCATGACATGTTTTATGACTAACACCATGACATGTTTTATGACTAACACCATGACATGTTTCATGACTAACACCATGGCATGTTTAAAGACTATTATGTTTCAGATTAATAACACGCAATTTTCAATGGTAATACAACTTCTTCTAGCACAAAGGATTTTAAGGCTAATACCATGAAAAGCGTCATGGCTATTACCATAACATAGCCATGAAGCATGTCATGGTATTAGACTTAAAACCCTTTCAAGACTATTACCATTACAAGTTTTAAGACTAGTACTTTGACAAGAGTTTAAAATAATACCATGACCATTTTAAGGCTCATACCATGACAAGAGTCAAACTGTTACCACAACAAGTTGTAAGACTAAAACTATGACGTGTTTTAAGATCAATACCGTGACAAGTTTCAAGGGTAATACCACGGCAAGTTTCAAGGTTAATACCAGGACAACTTTCAAGGCTGATACCATGACAAGTTTCAAGGCTAATACCATAACATGTTTCGAGGCTAATACTACGGCAAATTTCAAGGCTAATACCAGGACAACTTTCAAGGCTAATACCATGACAAGTTTCAAGGCTAATACCACTACATGTTTAAAGGCTAATACCACGGCAACTATTAAGGCTAATACCAGGACAAGTTTAAGGCTAATACCACGGCCAAAGTTTTCAAGGGTAATACCTTAATAAGTTTCAAGGCTAATACCATGACGTGTTTTAAGATCAATACTGAAACAAGTTTCAAGGCCAATACCATAAAAAGTTTCATTGTTAATACCATGATATGTTTCGAGACTATTGCCATGACTAGATTTAAGACTAACACCACGACAATTTTCACGGCTAATACCATGAGAAGCTTTGAGACTAATACCATGAAAAGTTTGAAAGCTAATACCATGATGTTGTGCAAGACTATTACCACGGAAAGCTTTTAGAGTAATCCCAAATGTCTCAAAGCTAATATCATGACGAGCATTAAGACTAATACTACGAAATGTTTCAAGGCTAATACCATGAGATGTTTCAAGGCTAATACCATGACATGTTCAAAGGTTAATACCATGACATTTCAAAGATGATACAAAGTTTACTTCCAATGCTAAAACCACGACAAGGTTCAAGGCTGATATCATGACAAGTTGTAAGACTAATTCCAGGACAAGTTTCAAGACTAATGCAATGTCAGTCTCAGTGTTAATGCCATGAGAAGTTTCAAGGCTAAAACCACGACAAGTTTTAAGGATATTGCCATGTAAAGATTTAAGTCTAATACCTTTGCAAGTTTGAAGCTTTATACAATGACAAGTTGTAGACTAATACCATGAGAAGATTCAAGTTTATTATAATGGTTAGTTTTATTGCTAATAAAACGACAAGTTTCAAGGGTAATATCATCACTATTTTCAAGGGTAATACAATCACAAGTTTCACGCCTAATACCATCAAACGTGTCATTGTATTAGCAAACCTTAATATAGTATTAGTCTCAAACTTGTAAATGTAATAATCTTGAATTTTTTCATGGAATTAGTCATGACTTGTCATGATATTAGCCTTGAAACTATTCGTGGTATTAGTCTTAAAGCTTGCCATATCATTATTCTTAAAACTTGTCGTGGTATTAGCCTTGAAACTATTCGTGGTATTAGTCTTAAAACTTGTCGTGGTATTAGGCGTAAAACTTGTGGTATTAGTCTTAAAGCTTGCCATATCATTATTCTTAAAACTTGTCACGGTATTAGCCTTGAAACATTTCGTGGTATTAGCCTTAAAACTTGTCGTGGTATTAGGCTTAAAACTTGTGGTATTAGTCTTAAAGCTTGCCCTATCATTATTCTTAAAACTTGTCATGGTATTAGCCTTGAAACATATCGTGGTATTAGCCTTAAAACTTGTCGTGGTATCAGGCTTAAAACGTATCGTGGTATTAGTCTTAAAGCTTGCCATATCATTAGTCTTAGTCAAGGCCATATCATTAGTCTTAAAACTTGTCACGGTATTAGCCTTGAAACATATCGTGGTATTAGCCTTAAAACTTGTCGTGGTATTAGGCTTAAAACTTGTGGTATTAGTCTTAAAGCTTGCCATATCATTATTCTTAAAACTTGTCACGGTATTAGCCTTGAAACATATCGTGGTATTAGCCTTAAAACTTGTCGTGGTATTAGGCTTAAAACTTATCGTGGTATTAGTCTTAAAGCTTGCCATATCATTAGTCTTAAAACTTGTCACGGTATTAGCCTTGAAACATATCGTGGTATTAGCCTTAAAACTTGTCGTGGTATTAGGCTTAAAACTTATCGTGGTATTAGTCTTAAAGCTTGCCATATCATTAGTCTTAAACTTGTCACGGTATTAGCCTTGAAACATATCGTGGTATTATCCTCAAAACTTGTCGTGGTATTAGGCTTAAAACTTGTCGTGGTAACAGTCTTGAAACTTGTCATAGTAATCGTATTGAACCTGGTAATGATCTTACTCAAGTTGTGTGACTAATACCCTGAAAAGTTTTGAGTAATAAATCTTAAACCATAGCAATATTCCCGACACAACTGCGATTTAGCGATGAAAATAAATCGATGAACAATAGTGCATGTTCATGGAAAATTCTCTTATGTCTAGAAATCGCACAATCTGACAAGTCAGTCTAGAGAAATTTTCAGCGGGAAATAAACTTTATTTTTTGCTATTTATATTGAAAATAATGTGGAGTTTTTGAAAGGTGTTTTTTCTTACAATGAGAAGCCTTGAGATTAGATCTCACAGTACTTTTGAATTATCTAACGACGCATGCACCTAAATTTGATTCGAATTTAAAATTCATCTTTTTAAACAAAATTTCGTCCATAATTGTAATAATGTAAAATGTTGTTGAGAAGCTCTTGCGTACAATACAATATACCATAGCACTTCCAGTTATATCAATCTTTGTAACATACATCTTGACTGGTTAAGATGGAACCAGGAGACGAAAAGACCAAACACTATTTGTTGATAATACAAAAATTAAAAAACATTACTTACACATTCATGCTATTTGTGAGTATTTGTAAACACACGGTTAAAATATAGTTATGGTATTTATTTCTTATTATGTTACTTTTTTATAAAAATATGTTCAATAATTATTGAAGTTCTTAATGTACAGGTTTCCTATTGTAACAAAGCATGAAAATAGATTATATATTGCATGAACGGCTGTATTATTTAATATTTTATAATGAGATGATGACATATATCAATGGGAAAAAAACTGATATCAAGCAGTAACGATGTCTTTTTGAACTACTTTCTTTGTAATCTTCGAACAGATATCTGCCCTTTGTGTATGCTATTCAACTTTTGATTTCTTTGTTTATGCCTATTTAAGTTTCTTCTTCTGCTCATTTTTCTGTCCCTGTCTATCCTGTTTGCCTGCTTTTCTGTCTCGGTCTTAACACAACTCAAAACAAAACATTAATCTTCAAGTACTAACAGGTTTTTTTTTATAAAAAATAATAGCTTTACACATAGCTTTACACATGAATCATGCAAATTTTCTCTGACTGACAAGAAATTTTTATGTTCCTTTTTTATATGTAGTAACCCCACTCAATACACTTTATTAATGCGGGCAGGAAAAGTGTTAACAAAACAAAAAGCATCTAATCATTTCGTTCTGAAACAGTCATTAATTTGACAAACTACTCATTCTGAACCATTGTGCATAGGAGCCGTCTTAAAAGTATTGTAAATATAGAACATTTTGTATCGATATATTAATGAGGCCAGTAATAGCTTTGATACATAATGGAGAATGATCCATGCAAATATATGCCTTTCATTTTTATAACATATATAATAAAAAGAAAATTAACTATTTGTTTTACTCGAGAAGTGGAAATATTTCATATTGTCTCAGCTGCTTCACTCCTGGAATATATCCTTATACCTGTTTAAAAACGTATCCTTTATATATACAGTTGTTCATCTACTCTTTTTCTGTGCGAGAGGAAAAAATAAGTGCAGGGTATAAACTCTGTTACGTATCGGCTCATTTAAAGTAATGCAATGAAAGAGTGAAAGAGTGAAGACAACAAGCTTTGTAAATTTTAAAGTAATTTATTTCCCTAGAAAACATGGATATAAAGTAAAAATATGATTTATGATTTACGAAGGAGACCCAAAATTGTATTCTAATAAAATGAAAACACGTAAGTCCTGTTAACAGGTCTAAATTGGCAAAGTCTAAACTTCAGTTCCGGTCCAAGATGGCGGATACACAATTTGTATTGCTCTGTTCCAATTTAGAAGTAATGTTTGAAAATGTCTTTGTCCAAAGCCAGTAGTTTTGTTTTCCAGGGAAAATAATTATTTAGAAAGTAAACGAAGTACAACTATCTCCATGAACAAAACAGGAGCCTCCCATAATAATTGTAACCTTCTGCTACGGCTAAGCCCAGATGAAGCGAAAGTCCCAGTTTTCTTCCACAACATAAGAAACTACGATAATAGGCTTCTCAACAATAATGAAAAGTATATTACCATTTCCATGAGCCAGTTGCAGTTCATAGACAGACTTTTAGCTCTTGCTGCACAATCCATCCACGGTAGATGATGAATTCCGCTACGATGTCCGCAGTTTATAGTGATGTTTAACATGTAGTATGATGTCTCATCCAGTCGCATTATCCTGACAACATTCGGACCAGTCCTAACACTAATCTCATAACGCTATTAGTACCATTTTTATAAGTCTTTGGTTTGACTCGGCTGAAGATCGAACTCATGACCTCCCGCATCTGAGGCGGACGCTTTAACCAGTAGACCACCGGAGCAGTCAAAAATAATAATTAAGTTGATGACAATCCGTTAAAAATAGAATTTGACAAATTTATTTGTACACATAGACTTTGACGACAATTCGTTGTACATTCACATAGCATTTTATGGCCATCCATTGTACATACACATAACATTTGATGATTATCCATTCTACATAAATATAGCATTTGATGATTATCCATTGTACATACACATATGATTTATGATTTGATGATTATTCATTGTACATACACATATGATTTATGATTTGATGATTATTCATTGTACATACACATATGATTTATGATTTGATGATTATTCATTGTACATACACATATGATTTGTTGATTTGATGATTATTCATTGTATATACACATATGATTTATGATTTGATGATTATTCATTGTACATACACATATGATTTGTTGATTTGATGATTATTCATTGTATATACACATATGATTTATGATTTGATGATTATTCATTGTACATACACATATGATTTGTTGATTTGATGATTATCCATTGTACATACACATATGATTTATGATTTGATGATTATTCATTGTACATACACATATGATTTATGATTTGATGATTATTCATTGTACATACACATATGATTTATGATTTGATGATTATTCATTGTACATACACATATGATTTATGATTTGATGATTATTCATTGTACATACACATATGATTTATGATTTGATGATTATTCATTGTACATACACATATGATTTGATGATTATTGTACATACACATATGATTTGATGATTATTCATTGTACATACACATATGATTTGATGATTATTGTACATACACATATGAATTGATGATTATTCATTGTACATACACATATGATTTGATGATTATTCATTGTACATACAAATATGAATTGATGATTATTCAATGAACATACTGTCACAGAATAAGGCTAAAAATAACTTGGTTTTGCCTTTAATCTAATTTATACTTTATTTGTTGTACAGGTGTACAATGTTACCTGCGCTGAATCACTGACTACCGGTTAGAGTGATTAGAAATTACATGCAGGCGTAGAGCCATTGGAAAGGATCGATTACATGGATATTTGACTATGACTATTAATCACTCCTATGGTCTTAAGCTTGATAAACTGTAAACTAAGACACAAGTCATTTGGATTTTGTCAGTGGTAGGCGAATTTTCTACCATCGTCTCAGGCCATAGGGGTAAGTGTCGAAATTTCGTCTTATTTGATCTGTGAAACTATTTCTCGGTTTTGTTTCCTGTCGGTTGATGTTTTGTTTTTAGCGTTTGTTATTACCATTTTATTAACGAATAGTTTTGTTTTATTGTAGCTTTTTTATTTTCTTTTTGGATACCAGTGTTCGGTGTTGAATGAGAGTCGACCACAGATTTCGGTTCATATGCCGTATAAACTGTAGTCAGTTTAGGAAGTGGATTCCAGTTTGTTCATTTGCGTTGAACACAGGAAGTGGTCGAAGTGTCAGAAATAATATTGGAGTATTGCTCATTTTTGAGTGTACGTAGCTTATTGTATTGGTCACATGTTACGTGTAGTGTACGTGTAAGAGTTTTTGAACTTGTTTTATATGCATATCTATACACATATATATCTAGTAACGCATTTTATAAATTCAATGATTCATCACCTTGTGTTGTTGTTATTCATTTAGTTCAAACAGAGAAATCCCATTCGGTTTCACTTCTGTTACACATACACATATAATTTGATGATTATCCATTGTACATACACATATGATTTAATGACTATTTATTGTACATACACATATGACTTGATGATTATACATTGTACATACACATAGCATTTGATAATTATTCATTGTAATACACATAACATTTGATGTTTATTTATTGTACATACACATATGATTTGATGATTATTCATTGTACATACACATATGATTTGATGTTTATTTATTGTACATACACATATGATTTGATGATTATTCATTGTACATACACATATGATTTGATGATTATTTATTGTACATACACATATGATTTGATGATTATTCATTGTACATACACATATGATTTGATGATTATTCATTGTACATACACATATGAATTGATGATTATTCTTTGTACATACTGTCACAGAATAAGGCTAAAATAACTTGGTTTTGCCTTTAATCTATTTTATAAATTTTTTTGTTGTACAGGTGTACAATGTTACCTGGGGTGAATCACTGACTACCGGTTAGAGTGATTAGAAATTACATGCAGGCGTAGAGCCATTGGAAAGCATCGATTACATGGATATTTGACTATGACTATTAATCACTCCTATGGTCTTAAGCTTGATACACTGTAAACTAAGACACAAGTCATTTGGATTTTGTCAGTGTTAGGCGAACTTTCTACCATCGTCTCAAGCCATAGGGGTAAGTGTCGAAATTTCGTCTTATTGGATCTGTGAAACTATTTCTCGGTTTTGTTTCCTGTCGGTTGATGTTTTGTTTTTAGCGTTTGTTATTACCATTTTATTAACAAATAGTTTTGTTTTATTGTAGCTTTTTTATTTTCTTTTTGGATACCAGTGATCCCGTCGGATGTTATAGTAACCTGTTCGATAAACTATTGAAGGTGGTTGGATACCATTGTAGACAGTTCGATATTAATAAAGACCCCGGGAGTCTATTGTGATTGTGGAAGTCTGTTGTGAATTATGGGAGCCATTGGAGTCTGTTGGATCCAATTCTTGTAGCTCATAGGATAGCGGACATTAGGAAAGCTTAATGAACATTATCAGATATCATGGTACATTAGTGGACTAACGAAGTATCAGTGGAACTGTCGAAGCCTAGCAGCAGATTCGGTGTTGAATGAGAGTCGACCACAGATTTGGGTTCATATGTCGTATAAACTGTTGTCAGTTTAGAAAGTGGATTCCAGTTGAGGAGCGTATGTTTGTTCATTTGCGTTAAACGCAGGAAGTGGTCGAAGTGTAATAATATTTGAGTATTGCTCATTTTCATTGAAGAGATTTTGTGAATATGTTAAATACTTTACTAGATTAAGTGTATCTCGTATTTCATTTTTCTTTTCATTTTTTTCATAGCACGTGATAACATTTGTTAGGTTATATCATATTCTCGTTTTCATTTCATGGGTGTACGTAGCTTATTGTATTAGTCACATGTTACGTGTAGTGTACGTGTAAGAGTTTTTAAACTTGTTTTATATCCATATCTATACACTTATATATCTAGTAACGCATTTTATAAATTCAATGATTCATCACCTTGTGTTGTTGTTATTCAATTAGTCCAAATAGAGAAATCCCACTCGGTGTCACTTCTGTTACACATACACATATAATTTGATGATTATCCATTTACATACACATATGATTTGATGACTATTTATTGTACATACACATATGACTTGATGATTATCCATTGAACATACACATATGATTTGATGATTATTCATTGTACATACAGTGCACTTGATGATTATCCATTGTACATACACAAATAGTTTAATGACTATCCATTGTACTTACACAAATAATATGATGATTATCCATTGTACATACACATATGATTTGATGAATATCCATTGTACATATATAATTTGATGATTATCCATTGTACATACACATATGATTTGATGATTATATATTGTACATACACATATAATTTGATGATTATCCATTTACATACATATATGATTTAATGATTATTTATTGTACATACACATATGATTTGATGATTATCCATTGTACATACACATATGATTTAATGACTATTTATTGTACATACACATATGACTTGATGATTATCCATTGTACAAACACATATGATTTGATGACTATTTATTGTACATACACATATGACTTGATGATTATCCATTTACATACACATATGATTTGATGATTTTATATTGTACATACACATACGATTTGATGATTATATATTGTACATACACATAGCATTCGATGATTATACATTGTACATACACATATGATTTGATGGTTATCCATTGTATATACACATATGAGTTGATGATTATCCATTGTACATACACATATGATTTGATGATTATCCATTGTACATACACATAGGATTTGATGATTATCCATTGTACATACACATAGGATTAGAAGATTATTCATTGTACATACACATATGATTTGGTGATTATTCATTGTACATACCCATGATTTGGTGATTATTCGTTGTACATACACATATGATTTGATGATTATTCATTGTACATACACATATGATTTGGTGATTATTTATTGTACATACACATAGCATTTGATGATTATTGATTGTACATACACATATGATTTGATGTTTATTTATTGTACATACACATATGATTTGATGATTATTCATTGTACATACACATATGATTTGATGATTATTCATTGTACATACACATATGATTTGATGATTATTCTTTGTATATACACATATGATTTGATGATTATTCATTGTACATACACATATGATTTGGTGATTATTCTTTGTACATACACATATGATTTGATGATTATTCATTGTACATACACATATGATTTGGTGATTATTTATTGTACATACACGTAGCATTTGATGATTATTCGTTGTACATACACATATGATTTGATGATTATCCATTTTTCATACACATATCATTTGATGATTTTTCATTGTACATACATATAGTATTCATTGTACATACACATAGCATTTGATGATTATTCATTGTACATACACATATGATTTGATGATTATTCATTGTACAGACACATATGATTTGGTGATTATTTATTTTACATACACATAGCATTTGATGATTATTGATTGTACATACACATATGATTTGATGATTATTCTTTGTATATACACATATGATTTGGTGATTATTCATTGTACATACACATATGATTTAATGATTATCCATTTTACATACATATATCATTTAATGATCATTCTTTGTACATACACATATGATTTGATGATTTTTTATTGTACATACACATATGATTT